CTCGGGCCTGCCCCTCCACTGGCTCCTCAGCGCTCTGTAAAGAGCTACCCGAGGTCCCGGCTGACCACGCGCCCGGGAGCCAGCCCAGGAGCACGCCTGTGATTCTCTACCCAGTACATTTGGAGCTGCGATGCTGAACAATGAGATGCCTGAAAAGATCTCTTGATGAAAAGCTCGTGGGTCATGACAAACGCATGATAAATGTTTTCACTGCCTGGACTCTAGACCTGCATTTATTGTGACATAAAGTTGCAAACTGCACCAACTCAGATGTGGGAAGGATATCTGAGACTGTAAGGAAAAGGGAGGGGTTGGGAATTAGGGTCTGGCAGGGGGGTCAGACGGCACCTTCGGGGGAGCTCACCTGGCACCGACGTGGTCCTTCTGCTCACTTGGGTGAGCAAGGGACTCACGGTTCTAAGCTTCTATTTCCTTTCTGCAAAATGAGGACCCAGTGACACTTCACTGGATGAAAGGACATAGTGTAGACTAATGACATGACGGAGCACAGGGCCTGGTACATTCTGGGTATAAAATTAGCTAACATTAATTGAAAAAGCACATTATATCTTATTTTATAAAACGCGTCCAGGGCAGAACTATTCTCCAGTCTTTCCAACCTCGGTCCTCCCCAAACATCCTGACTGAGCAGCATAGAGCAGGTGCCTGCTGAGTGGGACCAGCATTGTCGCCGCGATGGAAAAGAGCAGGGGCGGTTCATGGCGAGTGACAAGTAACTGCTGCAGCCGAAGATCAAGTCAATGCCAGAGACACGTTCCCAGAAAATACAGAGTCTAAATTAGAATACGGTCTCAGCTAGAAATCATTATATTGAAGCAGCAACACAGGGAGACAAGTCCACTAAGTAAATCGCATGACAGCTGGAGGATTTTATGGCCTCTTGGAGACATTGTTAAAATGTCATGGTGATTACGTGTTGTTTTTTCTTCCCCCCAGACTTGTGTAATGTTGTTTCAAATCTTAAAATCCTTTCCAGTGGATGCCAAAAGTCTGTCTGAAAGTGTGCCTTGAACACAAAAACGTGGACTGTCCTGATCAAGCCGGTGAGATGCTCTGGCTGTAAACCCGCCAGAATGTGGTTTTTATTGTGAATCCACCACTTTTACTAGCTGTGTGGCTGTTGTCAAGCCTTTTACTCTCTCCAAGCTTCAGTTACCTTCAGGGGTGGTTGGAGGGTTAAATTAGGTAAAGGGCGGTGGAGAATGTGGCTCTGAGTAAGCACTTAACAATGTGAGATATTGTGGGGTGTTTTTCTTTTAATTTTTCTTTGGAGGGGAGGGGAAATAATTAGGTTTGTTTGTTTACTTAATGGAGGTACTGGGGATTGAACCCAGGACCTCGTGCATGCTAAGCACACACTCTTCCACTGAGCTCTATCCTCCTCCCCTCATTTCCTTCTTTACACTTTTGCCTTTTCCATATTTTCTATGGCTTTTTAAAAATGATTGGAATGAAGGTAAATATACTGGAAGAAGATGAAGCCGGCTGTGCAGGTGCATTGGTTATCAACTGCTACATGACAGATAACCATACACCAAGTGGCTTAAATTAACACAGTTATCTGACAGTTTCTGTGGGTCTGGAGTCTGGGCTGTCTGTTCAGGGTCCGCAGGCTGAATTAGGCAGCTGCATTCCCATCCAAGGCTCAGCCGGGAAGGATCCGCTCTTAACTCACTCAGGCTGGCAGGTGCCTTTCCCGCGGCTACACACTGGGGCCTGCGGTTCCCTGCAAGGTGTTGGGTGGAGGCCCCTAGACCCTAGAGGCTGCCTGCGCCTCTTCTGCAAAGCACTCTGTTCATGTAGGTTTCCCAGAGCGGTGCAAAAGGATCTGTGTAAGTGGGCTGCAACCAGACCTCAAGGAGCACCAGGGATGAGGTCTGCTGCTCTAGGGTCTTGTCCTTCATCGCCTTAAAGCCCAGATCACCACCAAGCAAGAAGCATTGGTGGAGAGGATGGAGGGTCTGGTCCATGCCGGGTGGACACAGATGCTCCAGGATGAGGAAAGAACCCGTTTCTAACTTCCGGTGATCATGAGTGACCAGCCCGTTAACGGGGAGAAACGAAAACACAGTACCGAGCCCAGGTGTTGATGGTATCAATTCATAGTTTCAATCAGAATCCTAGGGTTCTATAAACTCTTGGAAAACTTTGGTGAATTCATTCCAACACCCTCACTCTCTGGTGTCTCAAAGCCAAATAAGGGTTCTTCCGATATTCAGTACAGGTTTGTTGAGCCCCTACTCTGTCCCTGACCCAGTGTTGGTGCAGAGATACCACATATATCTGCCCTCTTTCATAGAGCTCACAGTTGGGGGTGGGGAGCAGACATTCAACAAATAATGTACAAGTAGGTGTTTCAGATTAGTAGTTTTGAAAATAAGCTTTATTTCCTTCCTCCTTGAATTGCCTCAGGCACCTCCAAATTTAGCTTGAAGGGCCAGCTTTTAGCGCACTCCTGTTCTGCATATTTTAGGGCCTCATTTTGCTCTGAAGCCAGATTTCCCAAGCTACAAGCGCAGCTCAATCCCTTCATGGCTGTGTGACCTTGAGCAAGTTCATTAACCTCTCTGTACTTCAGGTTTCTCATTTGTAAAAAAAGAATGATAATAATAGTATTTACAGCTGTGTACACTGTTGTGAGGAATAAGAAATGAAGGAAATCATAAAAAGTGCTCAATGGTTTTCTCCATATAAATCTTTGGTAGATTCATTCCTAGATATTTGAAAGTTTTGGTAACCAGAAATAAAAATTTTAATTTTTTTCTATTTGCCAGCTGTTGGTATATGCAAATACAACTTACTTTGATATATTGGCTTTTACCCAGTTGCCTTATAAACTCTCAGTAATTTTAATAGTTTATCTATAAATTCCTTTCAATTGTCTATGTATATAGACATAGCACGGGTGAGTAATAACTCCTATGTTCCTTTTCAGCTCCTCATACCTTCATCTCCCCTGCTTACGGCCCTGGCTAGAACATCCACTGCTGTGCTGTATTATACTGTCAAAGTCAGCCTCCTTTTCTTGTTCCTGATCTGTGGAAACACCTCAGTGTGTCACCATTAACTATACTTGCTAAAAGCTTTTTTTTTTGTAGATAATCTTCAGCAACTGACAATTTGCTAAATTGTCTGTCTCTTTTTCATCCTAGTTTAGATATTTACAGGTGTTGGCCCTTATCAAATGATCTCTATGCAGCTATTGAAATGCTCACATGATCTTTCTCCTTTAGTATGACAGTGGTTTACCACTAGTGATTTCCACATGTTAAAACCCTCTGTGTGGGGGAAGGTACAGCTTAGTGGTAGAGCACGTGCTCAGCATGTATGAGGTCCTGGGTTCAATCCTCAGTACCTCCATTAAATAAATAAATAGACCTAATTACCTCCTACCCCCTGCCCAAAATCACCTCTGAATCTCTGCAATAAACCCAACTCAGTCACGATGTTTCATTCTTTTTATAAATTGCTGTATTGTTCAGTAATGCTGTTTAGGATTTTGTGTCTATGAACATTTTTTGAGATTAGCCTGTGATTTTCTTCTCTTGTACTGTTCTCAAGTTTTGGTTTCAAGATTCTGCTAGCCTCACAAGATAAGTCAGAGTAGTCTATATTTTCCTGTTCTTTGGAATACTTTGTGTAGTACTGAAATAACTTTCTCCTTAAATGAGTTAGAACTTACCAGTGAAACCTTCTGGGTCTGCGGTTTTCTTTGTGGGAAGAGGTTTGGTCACTGATGCAATTTTCCCAATGGCACAGGACTAGTCAGGTTTTCTATTTCTTCTTGAGTCTGTTTTGTTATGTTGCATTCTTGTGGTAGTTGTGTATTTTGAGTTTTCAAATTCTGGCAAATTTTGAAATACGTTTTCAATCTTTATGTGGTCTGTGGCAGCATCTGCAGTGATGTCACCTTCTTCCCTCCTGAGACTGGCTGCCTGTGCCTTCTTTTTAAATTGAGGAATCACGCCACAAGCTGGTCAATGGCATTCATTTTGCTAGAACCACAATTTTTCGCTTTCTTGATTACATCTATTATGTGTGTGCTATTTCAGTAACTCCTACTCTTACTTTTACACGCCCTTAACTTTGGGAGGGATTTCCTTTGTTACCCTATCTGCACCTCCCTGTACATTCCCAGCCTTTCCTTTCTGTGCACACTCGCTTATGCCTACATATTTCTAACTACTGACTTAGCTTTATCTTACAAGTTTTGGTATGTGGTACTTTCTTATAGTTCAGGTCAAAATTTTTCTTAGGATTTGTTGACACACAGGTTATTTAGGAACACTTAAAAATATATATGTAAGAATTTCCCATCTCTTGTTATTTGCTGCTAGCTTAGAAGTTAAAGCGGTCAGAAAAATTTAATATAATTTGAATACTTTTAAATTTGTTTAAACTTGCTCTAGGTCTTAGTATATGGTCAATTTCTATAAATGTTCTGTGTAGGCTCGAAAAGAATGTACATTCTTTTTTTAAATAATAAATTATTTATACATTATTTATTTATAATTTATTTTTTGAGGCGGGGAGTAATTAGGTTTATTTATTTCCTTGTATTTGGAGGAGGTACTGAGGATTGAACCCAGGACCTCCTGCATGCTAAGCATGCACCCTACCACTTGAGCTATTCCCCTCCCCCTGAAGATGTACATTCTGTAGTCCTAGGTGCAGTGTTCCAGATACTCATCAATTGAGCCAATTTTAATTGGCTTGTTCCAATCTTCTATATTCTTCTTGATTTGTCCTATCAATTTCTGAGGAAAAGTATGCTAAAACTTCCCAAATACAATTGTAAAGTTGGGTATTTTCCCTTTCAGTTCTTTAAATGTTGAGACTAGTAGAGGGAGAAATGGAATGATTTAAAACCAACCAACCCCCTCCCACCCAAAAAAACCAACCCTGAAACACTGTCAGTACAAAAGGAGGTGGGAAAGAAGGGAACCCCTGTCCCCAGACAAGTGAGACAAACACAAGCGCAAAATAAGAGTATATTCAAACCTAAATATATCAGCAATTGTATTACACCTAAGTGGATTAAGGGCTCCAAGTAAAGAGCAAAATATGTCAAGCCGGATTAAAAGACAAAGTCTAACAGTCAGCCATTTACAGAAGCCACACCTAAAACACAAGGACACTGGTGGGGAGCAGGTCTGGTCTGCCCTTGCGCGAAGCTCCTTCAGGAGAGACCGGTGACATCATGGGGCGTCTCAGCCAGGGCACTGTGTCCCCACACCTCTCCACCCCTAATGCAGACCCCCTTCCACTGGACCCCTCAGGGCTGGCCTGGAGACCGGGGGGCACCCGCTCTGACAGGCTGAGGCAAGACCTCGCCACTTTCCAGGTTTACAGTGACCTTGGGTGGGCTGGCGGTAGATGGGACACTGAGGACTGTGACTGGAAGGGTTGGAAGGGAAGGAAAGTTTTCTGGTGACTTCCCAGGGCGGTGACAGGTGGAGATGGCCCCGACTCCAGACCCAGAAATTCCTGAGTTCAAAAAGGCCCCCGGTTTCTCCCACCAAGGTGACCACATTGCCTCACAAAGTAGATGGAGATGGACATGGTACCAAACTCCTCAACTGCATACAGACTTTTCACCAAATCACTGATTGCAGAAGGCCTCGCAGTTAACAACCTAAAGGCTTTTTGTCCAGGTGGCAGAGGACTGGGTGATGAACACGGCTGCAGATCAGGGAGTCTCCCTTTCATTTTATTACTTACTTGCCTCATTCTTGAAAAAGATGAGTTTCCTACAGGGTCTGGTTGGCTCTGGAGCCTCTGGCCTGGGCCGCAGCAGGCCAAGGTGGGCAGGCTGTGCCCAGGGGACGACCACTGTGCCGGGGGAGGCTGTGCGCCCACAAGCAAAGCCCTTTCAGCCCCCAGGCCTCTGTGGTCCTTCCTGCCTGCTGCACTGGGTTGTGTGGGGGCTGGTATCTGTCAAGTCTGAAGCTCCAAACCTTAAAATGCCACCCAGAGGTAGACAGGGGTGCAGCCTTCATCACCCCTGCTCAGGAGGGAGAGGATGGGCCCGAGGGGTGCGGAGTAGGGTGCAGGGAGCTCCTCCTCCCCTGAGTCCTGCCCTTTGTACTGGCTCTGAAACGTTCCCAGCGCTGCTCCCTGCACAGCCTGGAAAGGAGCTGGTCTCACCTTCCTGAGTGGAAAGTCTAGAACTTTCCTGTTCCTGAGTCTCTAGGATGGCTAAACGTGAAGAGACTGTGTTTTAAACATCCTACTTACATGATCTTATCAACACTAGCTTTCAAGTTAGTCATCTTGGGACTTATGCCAGTCCTGGGAACATTCTAGCACCCGCCTGTCATGGTCTGTCTGTCTGGCCCATCAGCATCAGCAGCCTGCTTCTTCCACAGGCACAGCGAGGAGCACAGGCCAGGCCCTGAGTGTCCACAAAGACCCCGATTTTAGGGACACACTTGGTACAGCAGCCACAAGGCCCCCCCTTGTGCAGTCATCATGCCTACAGTCCCTTCTGGGCCCCCGAGCTGGCTGGAGCCTCAGTACTGCACCCAGGTTCCCCGACAGCACAGCTAACCACGCCAGGCAGAGCCCTCCCAAGGATTCCCAAGTAAGGACTCGAATGGGAGAAGATCTTACCCTGGGGAGGGAAGTGAGGCAGATGATTAGAAGGCCATTTCCGAGACTCCACCAAGTGCCACCTGAGGGGTGGGGCCCAGAGCAGGCCTGCCTGGCCACCAGGGAAGCAGGCCTAGTGACCCTGGACATGCTTTCTTCTCCCTTAAGGAACCCGGATAAGCCCAGCTCCCTGTGTGTGTTAGGGGCTGAACTGTGTACCCCTGGCCAGATTCATATACTGGAGTCCTAACCCCAGCACCACAGAATGTGACCTTATTTGGCGGCAAGGTCTTTCCAGAAGCAACCATGTTCCAGTGAGGGCACGAAGGTGGTGTCCTTAGACAAAAAGGAAATTTGGAGATGTGAGTTCAGGGAGAGCGCCCTGGGATCACGAGGATGGCCACTGAGTGACAAGCCAAAGAGAGAGGCCTGGAACAGCCTCAGAAGGAACCAACTCTGCCAACACCTTGACCGTAGACTTCTGGCCTCCAGGATGGCTAGACTGTAAATGTCTGTGGTTTAAGGCTCCCGGCTACTGCGGCCCTGGAACCAGTACAGCGCGTGTTGTGTGCACTCTGCCCCCAGCAGTCACCCGGGAACTCCTCCCCCAGCCTGCGGAGGGACTGATGACTTCTCTGCACGGTGTGCAAGGTCAGGCAGCCGAGCCGGCTTGTCTCCAGTGCTGGTAACAGCCAATCAGCCACACTCCAGTGTGGCCCCACTGACCTCCTTTCTGTAGAAGCCAAGGACCTTTCCCTTAGAAACCCCCTTCTTTGACTTTAGAATCCATATAGGTAAATCCAGCTTAGACCAGGGGGGCGGAGTTCCGCCTTTCTCAGCGCTGGGATCCAGACAGCAGGTGTTGGGAAAACGTGCTCTCCTGGCCCCTTTGCAGCTGCTGGGAGCACTCCAGGCACACGTGGCATGCCTGTGCCCAAACACACACCACCCTGGCCAGCTCCAGGGTTCTGGCAGGAAGGACAGAAGTGACATTTAAATTAACCTGAGTCAGGAAAGCCAGAGGCTTGGCTGGGGGATGCACACCAAAGGGTGGCATCCCTGAGCAGACAGCATCCTGGAGTCTGGGGCAGTCAGGCCAAGGGCAGCCTCCCGGCCCCTTCACGGCCCAGATATGGGGAAGGTTCTGCTGGAGGCGAGGGAGCGGGGAGGCTGGCCCCCTGGAGAGGCAGCCTGGGTGGAGCATCCTCAGCAGGACTGAGCCCATGAAGACGGCAATCAGGGGGCCCCCACTTCAGGTCCCTGTGTTCCCCGCCCCACAGTTCCCCCTCGAGGGCTCTCTGGAACCCCACCAACAGGCGGCTTGGATCCTTGGGCCAGTTTAGAGTCCTGGTGGGTACAGCTACTGCAGCCAGCAGTTCCACATCTGCACTGGTCATGGCAGGGGCCACCTGGGGGGGTAAGGCAGTGGGCACTGAAGGGGGAGGAGGGCTCTTGCAGCCCCCAGTGTGTCTGAGGGGGTGATGCACAGTCAGCATGGTGCAGCTGCTGCATGCTGAGGAGAGAGGCTGCTGGGAAGGGCTGGAGCTGGGCCCAGAAGGTTCTGCTGGGTGGGTGTCTGGAGGCAGTTGAGGCACCAGGTGCAGCCTCCCGCTGGACAGGCCCAAGTCGCCAGCCCTGCTGCCTTCTGCTGGGCCCCCCAGGATCTTTGGTCTGGGCCTGGTGGGGCCCTTTTGCCTCCAGTAGGGCCGGTGTCTGCGAGCAGGGCTACTGGCCCAGCGAGGGCCCCGGGGGAGGCCCTTAGGCCCAGGGCCCCTCGGGCGCCGCCCCAGCCGATCCACCTGGGTCCTCACGGCGGCCACTTCCTGAGACAGGCCTGCCA